TAATTCTGAGGAACTTCCTTTTGGCTTGATTGGCTTAGGGACTGGAATATTAGTCTATTTTAATAGTTCAGAATATGGAGAACCCAGTAACTTCCACTGTGGCAGGGCATTTCTGCTAATCTCCTGACTGCAAGAGAAGGAAAAAAAAGTGGTTGTTCTCCAAGTGCCATTTTTGTCTTTTCAAGAAATGACTCTCTGGAAGGGTTGTCTTTTTAAAGTACACCTAGCAACAGACAACACAGTGGAAAAACTGTGCGCCCCACAAAATTCCTGGGCTAACTTTAGCTTTTACAGCCTAGTGATTCAGATAGTCTTGCCTTTATACTTTCTCCTTTGGACTGATTCGATACCAGCCAAAATCCAGGAGTTTGACACTATTCCTATTATTCCCATGATCCCTCTGCCCTTCCTCTGAGGAGCTGAGAGTGATATAGGTGGTGACACTTCCCCATGTTATCTTCTCAGCAACTTTGTGAGGTAGACGAGAGGTGTTTCAATTTCATATTGATTAAGTAGGGACCTGTTCCCAGGTCTATCCACACTCCCACCACACTAATACTATTCTGATTTTTTAAAATTACTATGTATTCTTTTTTACTCGCCTTTAAAATATCCTCTTAAAGGAAATCATTGTGCAAATATCTGCTCTGTTGCAATGAAATATGACAATGAAGATGTTTGGCAAGGTGGTTGACACACTGAGTCATACTCGGCTTTAGAAACAACAATGAAATCAGCCTGGTTAATCAGCCTAATTATGTCCATCCTTCATGCTGGAGAAGGATGGTTGAGGGTGGAGTTTAGGGCATTACCAGCTTTCCTGAGTTGGAACTTGACTTCTGGCTTCAAACTTCCTTCCAGCTGCTTTAATAGCTTGAAACTGGAATAAGTTACTGATTCTTTTTTTTAAAAGAACCAAGTCAACTTCCATTCAACTTTCAGTTCCAGCAGAACTGACAACTTGAGACTTTATTTACTTCCTAATTTTTGCTTGCTGGTATTTAGAGTTCACTGGATTACCCCTCCATCTCTCTCTCGAATTTATATATATGATTGAAAACAGTAATTGCTCTGTGACTTTGGTGGAGGTAAGTTTGATCTATGTGTGTATTGTTGTATTTTATAAAGTCCTCTCTGTTTGGGAAATGCAGTGTCCTCCTGATAAGCTGAAAACAAGCAGTCTTCCCCGCTGCATAACGTCTCATTGCTGCTGCAAAGACCTACAATTGGTATTTTGGGGTGTAACAGTTACAGCCAGTAGGGCTATAGCAATGTGGGGCATTGCTAGTCTCTGTTTACATCTAAGGCTAGAGTAGCCTGGTTATGAAAGTCTGCCTCCAGAGTGTGTTATACTTAAATTGAATCTGAAATTTGCCCAAAGGCCACAAAAACTATCCTGCTTATTCCTTGAGATGCATAATTCAGTGTCTTTTCCTCTGAGATTCTCAGTGTTTCTCAGAATTTAAGCGTTTTGTTTGTTGTTTCCAGAAGAAGCAGAGGAAGAGCTGAGTCTAACATGACATTATTATTCCTTGCAAGAAATATCTTTGGGGGTCGGAATTATATTAGAATTGGTTCCTAGACTTTTCATTTAGCGTGCAAAGGGGTAAACAGCAGCTTGATAGAGACCATCAGGCAGAAAACAGGAAAGTACTGGACTTCCGAACTTGCACGCAGTCATTTCCTGTAATAGATAAGACACATTAGTGTTTAAATTTGGCAAATAGTTTGATCACAGGTGGGGAGGACACTGCACTTCCTGCCACACTGCTTGCTTGCCCACTTGTCTGTGATGATAAAGCCAGGGTCTCCAGCTCACGTGTGTGCTTCTTGCTATGCAGACACCAATGCTTTTGGCGAGCACATAGCGAAAGATATAAAGCAAACTGTTGTTCAGGCTGCAAAAGCTGCAAAAAAAATTTTTTTTTTAATTGTCTTTCTACCAGCTTACTTCAAGATGTACCATAGTCATTTACACTGGTCTGGTGGTTTTGTTTTGTTTTTTAATCTGGGCAGAAGAGTTACCAAGTTGAATCCCTTTTCTATCTCCCACTTCGGGGGAATGGTAGGCTAAGAATGTTTAAATGGACAACCTGTCCTCCAAGGACATCAAGGCAGCATTACATAATTTCCTCCCCCTAGTTTTATCCTCACAACACCCTTGTGAGGTAGGTTAGGCTGGTTGGCCCAAGAGCTTCAGTTGAGATTTAGGCATAAAAGGGGGAGGGGATTTGAACCCAGGTCTCCCTCATCTAACTACTACACTATGTTGGCTCTCCTTTTCTGCCCTCTCAGCTAGCTTCGTTTAAGGAACTGGTATGCCTTTTGCATTGTAGTTAAAAATACAGGACTTTTGGCTGTCTTGTACATAGACCTAGTTATTTCACACGTAGTGCAGTACACCTACATATTAAGTACTTCTTGCACATACCTGAAGTTGTAGAGTTGGTTTCAGATACCAGTTCAGTTTTTCTCCTTTCAGCATATCATGCTGGGAAAGGGTGTAGCTGCATTCCTTTGCAGTTTGAGTATAAATGTAGCGAATCTAGAACATTGCTATCCCTTTAAATGAAATCCGTGTATTAGGACCAGCCAAAATGACATGAAACTTCTTGGTTTAAATGTGCATTTTTCTGAGTTGCTCAGAGGTATTGTTGAATCATTCATGAGTTGTAAGCACTCTGCTATGAGAAAAATATCACTTCCAGTTATAATTTTAGCGTTAAGACTGTGGCAAAGCTTTTGGTGCAAACCAAACATAATCCTTATATATAAAAATTAGGAGAGTTTTGTATATCTGGAGTCCTGATTTGGATGTTTACAGAGTCGCCATATGAGGAAAATAAATCTGCCTATCAGTTTTTCTGAATTTCCAGCTTTTGTTAAAAAAAAAATCACTAAAAAGTCATTTTAAAACATTAATTATAGTGATATTCGTTCCCCCTTTTATCACTGTAACGAAAGAGGGTGGAGGGGTTTTTTTTTAACTGAAAGCTGGGACACAGATTGTTATAATAATATTCAGTTGCTAATTAAAAAAACACCCACCCCCCCAATGGCAGAGGAAGGAAATGGGTGCTGTGGGGACAGGGGCAGGGAAAATGGCTGTGTTTTTTCTCAAAACTTTGCAGGAAAACAGGTCTGGGAAGCAGGGGGAATCCCAGAAGGTACACAGGGGGAAGCCCAGAAGGTACACAGATGTACCATAATGCTGTGGGGAATCAGAGAAAAAAAGCTGCTTCCCAACAGCATAAACCCAGGGCAAACAACCTTTGTGGAAAACGTCCTAATGAAGATGTTGACCGTTGCTAGGGTTGCTAAACTCTAGGCAGGGCTCGGTGTCCTCCTGGAGTTGCAACTGGCCCTCTCCAGAGATCAGTTCCCCTGGGGAAAATGGCAGCTTTGGAGGGCGGACTCTATGACGTCAGATCCCCTCCCCTCCTCAAATCTGCCCTGTCCAGCTCTGCCCCCAGACCTCCAGAAGTTTCTCAAGCCAGTGAAGGCAACTCTAATTGTCGCTCATCTGTACTGCCACTTCATTCTGCCAGGCAATGTATTGTTATGAGGGCTTGGAGGCCAGAACCCGAGTCTTAGGTGAGCACAGCCTTCACGCAGTTTCTGTTCACAGGGTCTGTGGCTCCCACACAATTCTGCTTTGGCATTTAGGTACATCTAGCCATGTAGGACAATCAGGAGTGCGTATTTATGCAGCTCCTCGAGTTGATCCCTCGGAATTATATCCCAGTTCTTTTTCCCGCTCTCCTGGCACTTACAGGTTTATTTAGGAAATCCATTACTCTGCTTTTCTCTGCAATGGGAACCCAGAGCAGTTCACAGACATAAGGTAAAGGTTTCCCTTTCTCAAAAGCCAGTCGAATCTGACTCTAGGGTTGCGGTGCTCATCTCCGTTTCAAAGCCGAAGAGCCAGCGCTGTCCGAAGACGTTTCCGTGGTCATGTGGCCGGCATGACTAAACACCAAGGCGCACGGAACGCTGTGACCTTCCCACCGAAGTGGTACCTATTTATCTACTTGCAATTTCTTGCTTTCGAACGGCTAGGTTGGCAGGAGCTGGAACTAGAGACGGGCGCTCACTCCGTCATGCGGCACACCCGGGTCTTGAACTGCTGAACTACCGAGCTTCCACAGCCTGCAGTTCAGCGTCTTAACCACTTGAGCCACCGCAGCTCACAGACATACCTAAGTATAATTTAAACAAGCAATATACAATTGAAATGAACAGAGAACAATATAAACCACAAAATAGCATTTTAGTCACTTTCAGCTGGTGCATCCCCAGCGATTTCCTTTTTTTGGGGGGGGGGAGTGTGCTTCAGCAGACATGTAAGCATTACCAAAAACGAGCGGCTTTTCTATTTGTATCCCCCCCCCCAACAGATTTCATGTACATATTGTACATTTGGAAGAAGCTAAAAGAATGTGTGCAAGTCATTCAAGATAATTTGATTAATTTTGAAACTAGGAGTTAATAAGATACGGTTGACTGGGACATTTAAAAGGCATAAGTAGAGCCAGATTAAATTTTCATAATCATTGCCACCTTAACACTGTATCCTGCATGTCAGATTTTATCCTCAGCCCTTCTTCCTCTGATGATTATCCCATAGTGTGGAATAGATCCCCCCCCCCTTCTGTGAGGAAACCCTGCAATCACAGTGTTGTTCCTTGAGTCTCGCACTTAAATAACCACCTATGGCATAGCATTGCCGGAACTGAAGTGGCACTACTAATTTCCAAGTTACACTTGAAGGAGAGGTGTGTCTTCCTTTCACCTAAACAGGACAGGTCAGATGAGATTTTGAAACTGCTGCACTGCTGGCTTAATTCGCTCTTGGAGCAGCTTAAAGCAGCCATCTTGACCTACTCGTATCACTCGCTCTCTTCTGAGTTTTGCACAACCAAATAAATTTCACTTCTCTCCGTCTTGCTCAATATTGGTTAACTTCCCTTTTTTGGTGGCTTTTCTCTTTTTTTCTGCAGAAGGAGAACCGCAGGCTTCAGGAAGCCAGCATGCGGCTTGAGCAAGAGAACGACGATCTTGCACATGAACTCGTAACAAGCAAAATCGCTCTACGAAATGACTTGGACCAGGTGAAGAAAGCTTTTCCCTACTACAACCAAGCGTCAGCTGAACTCCTGTGCAGAAAGCAACTGGAGAGCAGAACTCAAGCAATAATTATGGTCCCCAAAGCTTTTTGGCATCCATGAGCTGTTGGGCTGGAGCTGGTTATAATCGTAAACAGGGTGTCACTGTGCTATCTGGGTGCCACTGCAAACATATAATAATTACTCCCTATTTAATTGCTGACTGAATAGTACAGCTGTTTAGATTGGAAAGCGTTAGCAGCAAGGGCCAGAATATAATTTTGCAAGCAATTTTGAGTTTTGCAAGCCAGGGCCAGAATATAATTGTGAGCAGCATTTTTGCCAGAGAGAATTTTTTGAAGTACTTCAGAGCTATAATAGGAGTATGGATCAGAGCGTTGAAGTACATGAGAAAAATCCTTTTTGGCTGTGTGCATCTTGCCACACATTAACAGTATTTTACCTTCTGGGGTACTTGTAAAAAATTAATGATGTGTGAACAGTGCTTTGTGCCTATAGGAAAACCTTTTTTAAGTACAAATTATTATCACTGTTACCAGCAGGTTGAATAATATTCTCTCATGTGCAGCTCAGTACCTACCCTGCTACCCTAGGAGAAAAGCATATGCTTCTGTGCATTCAATTTCTTTTTCTGCTATTTTTTATATGTGCGTGTGAGTGTGTGTGCATCTGGGATTCATGGCGACCTCTGGTGACTGACCCCTACTTGGGGCCTGGAGGATATTCAGAGAGGTGGCTGAGTAAAGCCTGCCCCCGCCTCCCACCTCTGGTATTTCAAGGAGGTCTCCCATCCAAGCACTTGCCACAGTAGGCCCTGCTTAGCTTCTGAGATCTGAGGAGATCAGGCTTGCCTGGGCTATCTGGGTAAGGGCTGTACATTCAATTTCGATGCATGCTGGTGACCCATAAAGTGATTTTTGTCAGAAGGGGATTCCGTGAATTTCCTTGCACCCAAATAAAAGAAAAGGACTGCGGCATTGTGACAGGGGCATGAGAGAGGGTCTGCTGTAGCCAGGACTCTTTAGTCAAGTCCAGAAATTGTCTAACTATGCAGTAACAATTCCATTTGTCAGCTTCCTGTGTATCTATGAGACTTGCATTAAGCTCAGAGGAATGGCATTTCTGATTAAGAAAGGGAGTAGAGCTATGCTGTACCAAGTCTGTGAAAGAAGAATCTTGCAAAAAGACTGATTTCCCAGTTAGCCTTCTGCATGTCTCATCAATACAAATGGCACCTGTGCGATTTTCCAGTGTGGAGCTGTTAACTGCAGATGAATAGGTGGGAATTCTGTCTCCTGGTCCAGTGTTTCTGTTCACAAAATTACATCCTGACGTTTGATGTTTGTTATGGATTGATGAACTGAACTGTAAAAGGTCAGCTGTCCCCACACACAAACATACACATGGCTGCAGCTTGCCATGCATCATTAAGGGAGCTAATTGAATCACTGTGGATGATTGCAAAATGCAATTAGATTGGGCCTTAGCAATCTAAACAGGATCCTCACTCCCGCAGACTGCTCATTGGATCAAATCGATTCCAGTGGACTTCCAGTGAGCAGTGTGACCAAGTTAGAGTGAGTCTCAGTTCTGGGACAGAGATCACTTTCCAAGTGCTTCGGTGGTTGTTGAGAGCCTACAGGTCCCCAGTACTGGGCTTGGAAAAGAAACTCAGGCATGGCTCTTAAGTACTTGACTCATTTCTGCTGGCCTAGAGATGTGTACTTCTGGGCTCTGTGAATTGATCCAGGCACTCAGACAACTAGCCTGAAGTGTCTGGATTAAAAAAAAAAAATCGTCCAGAGTCTGCTGTCTCCATACTGCTGGAGTGAGAAAATGGGTAAAGGAAGGGCAGGGGGTGAGGCAAGCAGTGGACCATTCCTTCTCCACCCTTAGAGTTCTGCTCTCGTGAAGTTCACAAACTACTATGGAAGATCTTTGGACCAGATGCCAAGGAGCGGGGTGGGATTAGATCCTAAATGAGATGAAACGGTGGGCATCTGCTCATCTGTTCATCCCTAAGTGTCAGTCTTGTAAAGCTGAGCCCTTCTTTCAATCCTCAGGCTGAAGACAAGGCAGATGTTCTGAACAAGGAATTGCTATTGACAAAGCAGAAACTAGTGGAGACTGAAGAGGAGAAACGGAAACAGGAAGAAGAAACAGCCCAGGTAGAACTCTTCCCTCAATGCGCGTCTGGGATTTTAGCAATCGGTGTGCAAAACAGTTAAATATAATGCATCAGTGGGAAAAATAAAATGGTAGCTAAACATGCATCGAATTGCTAAGTTTCACATCGCAGGGCCCTACTACAAAGCAAGGTGTGGCCATATCAGGCTGCAGCTTTTGGGTGTTTGCACGCTGGAAAGATACTAGTGGTCCATGGCAGATAATCCATTGAGAATATATGGAAAGGCTTTGGGGCAGATCCCATTCACTGTGATGAGGCCTGTGCTGGAGAAGTTCCCTGTGGATTGTGCCTCATGTTATTTAATGAGAGGAAGTGCCATTTGGGAATGTTTGAGTCATGTTTGAGGCTGGTTTCTTTGCTTTGTCTGAAGAGTATGAAGCCATACACATTTCAGTTGCCTGCAAAAAGGTTCATACACAAGATCACTTTTATTCCAAAAAGTGTCTTAAACCATGGAGCTATTCCTGCAGCTCCAGTAAGCAGTTCTGTACTCTCTGTGATTAGAATCATTACTGCACACACACTCAGAAAGGAGGGGATATGCAAAGTTTTACCTCTAATTTTGACTACATTAAAGGTGAATCAGTAATGCTGCTAATTTTGCACATGCAGCCTCAAAACACTTCAGGGACACTGTAGTCTTGGATCAGCAGATCTACATTCACCTACTCCCAAAAATTGTACTTCTCTCTGGGGATATGGCAGGGACCTGGAAAGGAGATTAGGGCCTTCCTGGGTTTTTATTCCCAGCATGCTCTGTGACTTTCGAGAACTGTGAAAAGCACTTTGCTTTGCTTTCATACCATTAGCTTGAATCCTAAGACCACCATGCTACTTTGTCCTGTTAAAAGGGTCTTTGTGGGTCTGGTGTGGGACATCCCTAGTCCTAGAGAACAAAAAGTAGAGCTGGAGGAGATGAAAAAAAGCCTGTTTTACAAGAGGACTTCCAGATCCCCCCCCCCCAGTGGGGGTTTATTTATTTATTTATTGTCAGATTTATACCTCGCCCTCCCCACAAAGCAGGCTCAGGGCGGCTTCCAATGACATCATCAATGAATCACTGTGGATGATGGCAAAATGCAATTAGATTGGGCCTTAGCAATCTAAACAGGATCCTCACTCCCGCAGACTGCTCATTGGATCAAATCCATTCCAGTGGACCTCCAGTGAGCAGTGTGACCAAGTTAGAGTGAGTCTCAGTTCTGGGACAGAGATCGCTTTCCAAGTGCTTCGGTGGTTGTTGAGAGCCTCCTGGGCTTGGAAAAGAAACTCAGACAAGGGTCTTAAGTACTTGACTTGAGGTTGAAGACCATTCTGTGCCATGATTACCATCTTTGGGTGGAAAGTATTGCATTGTATATCACAATCTGGAGGATATAATTACGGTATTGCCCAAGCAAGAAATTACTACACCCTTGAAAATATTCAGGCTTGACCTGGGAATTAAGATTTCATTCAAAGATTTCCTAAGAAGTGGGAATTCGTAATATACAAGAGTAGCTTTATTGTAGGTGAAGGGTGTGTTCAGGAAAGGGATTACTTGCTTAATCGCTGAGACATTTGTCCACCCTTAGTATTAATGCTTGCTGTCATTCTATGTGCAGCTGAAAGAAATCTTTAGAAAACAGCTGGAGAAGGCGGAATCTGAAATAAAGAAGACGGGTGCCATTATTGCGGAATATAAACAGGTAACGTGTTTTGATTTGTTTTTTTAATCTTTCAGCTGACCTTCCAGTATGTTTAACCTTGTGAAGAATAACTCTGGGTTATAGTATTCATACTTTTTACAAGCAGCTTTACAAATTACAGTCTCCTGATTTCGGAAGATAAAATTCTTAGCCACCTCCCCGCACAGTCCAATAAAAGGCATGTTTCCCCCATTACTATTGGCTGTAAGCTTTAAGCCAATTATAATTTGTTTGTCACATCCTTAGCTCCACTAAAGGTGCAGATCCTCAGTGCTAATTTGTAGACCTTAAGGATCAGCCTTGCATATATTCCTAAATCATCTGTCAGCAAATTACTGTTGACAGAATACAAGCTTTATAGTAGAATACAGGCCTTATTGTAAAGAGGTAAAAGAGCTTGTGTGTTCAGATACCTTTCTCTTTGAAAAGCAAACATTATTGTGAGAATCTTGTTATTTCCTCCTAGATTTGTTCCCAACTGAGTAGCAGGTTGGAAAAACAGCAGACTGCCAGTAAAGAGGAACTGGAGGTTGTGAAGGTAAGAACAGATGTCACTGACACAGAATAGTTAGACGTTGTTGACGATTGTCCTGTGACAAGTTGGCAAGCTGGCTTTCACAGGTGGTCAAGGTAGAGTTTCATAATCAACCACTGAGGGTACTCTCACATAACAGAAATACATTTGAACACATGTACAAGAGGTGCATGAGCTACTTAATCTGAGAGATTACATTCAGAAGCTCTTTCATGTAGCATAACATGACGGCGGCAAGGGCCAGTGGCTGCCTCCTTACCATACCACCATGGTAATTAGATTCTTATCTTACACTGGGATGTTCAGGCTTTCCACTGTAGATCTTCTCTGCCTTCTACAGTTGTAGAGTTGAAAGTGTGGCTGGTCACAGTGCTGCAGTGTTGTGAAGTTGCACCTGCTTTAAACTGTCCAGTCATATCCTAAAGCTGAAAGATTGAACATCCCCCTACATTGGCCTTGGTAGACCTATGATACCCTTTAATGCTGTAATAGCAAAAGCCATCCATATTCTCTTGCAGATTAAAATGGTGGAGTCCCATCTAATTCTCCCGAAAGTGGAAGCAGCGGTTTCCCAATTCCCCAGCATCTTCAGATGCTTCCTCTTTCTTGGACCAGCAAGGCAGTGCAGTCTCATGTGTTGATAAGTCTTCTGTATGACCTTTGGTATCTCTGTCCATAAAAGCCTTCTCCTCACAAAGCTGTTCTCCCACAGCAGGTCCAATTTCTCACTCTGCCCCATTCTTATTAAGTACAGTAGGAAAATGACTGTGAACTAATAACTCTTCTGTAGCATTACTTGCCCTACACAGCAAGTGTGAAATTGCTGTTTTTGTTTGTAGTTGCCTTTTCTGGAATCAGGATCCAGAAGGGAATTTAGGAGAGCTAGAGGTGAAGTAGGTGGTGACCAGGCAGGGCATTTTCAGTGATGGCACTCGCCTGTGATGTTAGCCTTGTTTTAATGGTCTTGTTTTCCTTTAGGCACCAGGCCCAAACACCTATTTTTTTTACCTGGGCTCTTAACTAAGGGGTTGATCTTTTAAATTGTTTTTTATGCACTGCTTCTAGCCTGTTGTGAGGAACATTTAGACTGCTGAATGTTTTATGCTTTTGGGCTATTGTGGGGGAGGGTTGTGCTGTTTTTGGCTCCAGGTTTTAATGGTTTGTTCATTTTAATGATCTTATGTTTTTAAGATTTTATCTTATTTTTTTAATGGAAACGACTGCCGTTTTGATGGAATGGTTGGCAGTGGCATAGAAAGGCCCCGTGCTCCTGGCTTCTCTGGAAGATGGCAGAATCCCCCCCCCCTTCTTTTTGTTCATTAACAGAGGAGGAGGAGGAGAGGGGTAGAACAGCCCTTTACATTCTGTGCTGAAACTTAGCAAAACCTGAACTGAGTGTGCCCCATTGACATCTTCATTCCTTGGTCTTGTTAGGCACAGGATAAGGTCAGTTGACAGCCTCATTCCTTGTTCCTATTAGGCAAAGGATAGCTCAGTTCTCACCTCAATATGCGGGATCAATCCGGGGGAATCCTCCTTCTCCTAGCTGGCCCTGTCTCTGGACAAATGTGTGGTATGCGTGGTAGACCTTTAGAAATGTATGGTCTTGCTGTTCAGACGATGTGCATTTGGGGCAAATTTATGATAACGAAAACCGAAATTACAGGTAGATTGTCAAGAGGGTAGGATGGAGAAACACAACAATTTACTAAGGTTTAACCCCTCCCCCAATTTTATTTGATTTTAATATACCTTAAATATTGGTAATAATGCAAGCAAAAGCTTGTCACGAAATGGAGTGACTTATGACACATGACACTCTGGGAAGATGGTGTTGCAGAGACTCAGACAGTATGGCAAGAGAAAGGAATGTGTTCTATAAAGGTAAAGGTTCCCTTGCTCGAAAGTCAGTCAAATCCGACTCTAGGGTTGCGGTGCTCATCTCCATTTCAAAGCTGAAGAGCCAGCGCTGTCCGAAGACGTTTCCGTGGTCGTGTGGCCGGCATGACTAAACACCAAGGCGCACGGAACGCTGTTACCTTCCCACTGAAGTGGTACCTATTTATCTACTTGCAATTTCTTGCTTTCAAACTGCTAGGTTGGCAGGAGCTGGAACTAGAGACGGGAGCGCACTCCGTCATGCGGCACCCGGGTCTCGAACTGCTGAACTACTGACCTTCCACAGCCTGCAGTTCAGCGTTTTTAATATTGGCCCTCCTTTTCACTAACCGCTGCAGGGACTCAGACAGTGTGGCAAGAGAAAGGAATGTGTTCTACCACTTGAGCCACCGCAGCTCCTAATGTGTTCTATACCTCATCATTAAAGAGCTTTCTGAGAGTTGACATGCAATAGTCTCTGAATACGAGGTCAGTTCCAGATGACGTTGTCACTGTGCCATCTTGGATATGCCTGATACCTTTTTTGGCCAAGCAGACTCCATATGCTCAGTGACGTTGCCATCACCACCAAGACTATCAGCTTAGCTGATGCTGTCATTCTCAAGTATAACGACTGGGTCTGTTTCAGGGCAAGGTGATGGCATGCAAGCACTGCAGTGAAATCTTCAGCAAAGAAGGGACGCTGAAAGCGCCTGCTGTCCCTAGAGAAAGCCGAGGGATGGAAACAGATGATGAAAAGGACGCCCTTAAGAAACAACTGAGGGAGATGGAGCTGGACCTGGCACAGACCAAACTACAACTTGTGGAGGCCAAATGCAAAATACAGGTGACACGATCGCTCTTAATAGGCTGAGAATGTTGTTGAATAGGGGCAACCTCTGCATTCCTCAGTTTGCCATTCTTCGAATGGCGCATCTGCCACCCGCTGCCTTCAACTTTTCCTAGTATTGTCTTTTCCAATTACTCCTGTCTTCTCAGAGAAGACCAAAGTACGATAGCCTCATTTTGGTCATTTTAGCTTCAGGGGAGAGTTTAGGCTTGATTTGATCCAGAACCAGTGTTCCCTCTAAGCTGAGTTAGTGTGTGCTAGCTCACAGGTTTTTTAGCCTCCAGCTCACAGATTTTTGTCTTAGCTCCAGAAGGATGGCTCCAGAGCAAACTAATTTATGCAGTAGCCAAATCACTCGCTCACAACTTTAATGCCAGTAGCTCACAAAGTAGCATTTTTGGTCACAAGACCCCACAGCTTAGAGGGAGCATTGTCCAGAACCCACTTATTTCTCTTTTTGGTAGTCCACAGTATCTGTAAAACTCTTCTCCAACAACACATTTCAAATGCATCAACTTTCTCCTGTCAGCTTTCTTCACCGTCCAACAGCTGGCACTGCCATTGCTGCACCAACCAGCTTCATGGTTTTTGAGGGGGGGGGGGGGGGGGGGGGGTTGGTGAGAGCATGCACACGGAGTGGCAGTCAGCTGATGAAGGGACAGGGACAATGGGGAGAGAGGAGGAAGAGGCCTGGCACATGGATTGGGAGGCAACTGGGCTGTCTTGTTCATGCCGCTCTGAGGGGAAAAGACCTCCCAGTCTTGGAAGCGAATGGAGGAGCAAAGGGAAATAGGGGCACTGATGTCATTGCCACACATCTGAACAGTCACAGAGCCGGGAGGCAGGGTGAGTGTTGGGGGTGGGTGGGGAATGGTGACTTCCTTTCTCCCTGGAGGTTTTGGAAACAGCGTCCTCGTCAGGCCTTTCCTCAGCCCCACCGCTTATGTGGGAAACATAGGAGGAATGAGAGCTAGGCATGGGGGATCTGTGAGAACCAGGTTCAGACCCACCCCTCCTGAGCCAGGACCCTGTCATCTGGGTCTCCTGGGGCTGGTTGCTCAGCCTGGAGCATCTCACAGGGGTGGTGGTGGTGAGGATGGGGTGGTGGAGTGGGGGGTCTGGTGTGCCTCTTCAAGATCCTCATAAGTAGGATGGGGGCAGAGAGGAAACAAAGAGCAAGGGACGGATTGTAGTAGTGCTCAGCTGCTGAGGCTGGGTGTATGGGGCGCGTGCTGAAAAACTACCTATTTAGTTGCAAGGGCGATGACTCATCTCCTAAAAGTGCTATATATACAAGAAGTAGCTAATTTGTATGAAAGTGTAAGATCCCCACCCCCACCCCTTTATGGTATCCCTTGGGGAAAAGCTTGTCTTTGTTGTTGTTGTTGTTCAGTCACACAGTCGAGTCCGACTCTTCGTGACCCCATGGACAAGATCTCGCCAGGCCCTCCTGTCTTCCGCTGTCCTCTGACTTGCATATGATTAAATACATTGCATATTATTAAATACATTGTCTTGCATATGATTAAATACATCTATTGGGGCCTTTTTGGGTTCCCCAATAAATCAATTGCTTTCGTTTGCATTTTGAGCAAAAAAATAATATTGTTAATTGGGTTTGCCAATGTCCTTTATAAAGTTTATCTCTCCAGTACCTGGCACTGCATTGTATGGCATACATGGCTCAGCCCAGCAAAGTAACATTTGCGTCAGACCTGGCCCTCATAACAAATGAGCTTTGACACCCCTGGTCTATTCTGATGTTTGGTTTAAAGGTACGGCCATCTAATCTACCACAGCAGTCTGTTTTCCATTGGGTTCACTCAGGCTTCAGTACATTAATGTTTACTTGGGAGTAAGCCAGTGTGCACATGATTAGGAGATATATGGACCTGAATTGGGTGGAAAGACAACATATAAATGTTTTAAATCAATAGGTGAAGTACTCGGTTTAGAGATGTTCTAATTCACAGAAAAATACTGTTTGGTTTTCCTTCGTCTGCAAACAAATGGATCCAAGTTTTGCATTTTGGTTTTTTTGGTAGCAATACTTGTCAATCTATAGAGAGGGGTTTTCCCATGTCACAGAAAAATACTGTTTGGTTTTCCTTCATCTGCAAACAAATGGATCCAAGTTTTGCGTTTTGGTTTTTTTGGTAGCATTACTTGTCAATCTATAGAGAGAGGGTTTTCCCATTATAATCTTTAAAAGTATTGACTCTGAACTCTTTTGTTTACAATACTGTGCTTATTATTTCACTCTACACAACATTGCCCATCATGCTCGTCACACAGAAGAAAAACACTGCAATCTAGTACAAAGAGTCATGCAAATGGACAGATGTTGTTCCATTTATAACTTCAGTAATGCACAGTTCTAAATAAATGTGCCAAATTAAAGTTAGGATCATCAGTTAATGTAACTGATTTGGATATGAACAGCTCTGAAGTTACCACTGCTTTATTTTACAGACCAGTTCTTTGCTTACTGTTGACCTCTTCTCCCTCCTCAGGAACTGGAGCACCAGAGAGGAGCCCTTATGAGTGAAATCCAAGTGGCCAAGAATTCTTGGTTTAGCAAAACCCTGAGCTCCATTAAAACTGCAACCGGCACACAGCCACCCCCGCCCCAGCAGCCGCCACCGCCTCCGATGCCATCCTCGCCCAAAGAGGGGAGCACATAGTTGGAGCCAGATTCCAAGCACAAAGAGCACAATGAACAAAACAGCTGCAGCCCCTTAAAGGTTTCCTCCCGAGGCACCTTGCTGGGGGAAGAGAAGGGGGGGTGAGGCAGAGAGCGCCCCCCCAAAAAAACATATTCCTTTGGTGTCTTTCATTTGTTCCAATGTGGCCCTTTCTCAAGGGAAGTTATTTAAAGAATCCTGTTTTCAAGTGGAATATTTCTTTCCTAGCTGCCTTGCCCAAAGCCACGTTCCCCGATACCTTCATATTTGACACATTATTTTGTATGCCTAGGTGTTAAAAGATGAGTAATGAATAATTCAGAACTAAGTGTTTAGTATGTTGCTAAAAATTACTCAGAATTATTCTTTACCTTGCATAAATAGAGGGGCTTTTTTCCCATTAGAGGAAAAGAGAAGGGGGGACGGGCAGGGTGACGTAACAAAGAAAAAGCACACCGTCGTGATGCCAGACAGAGGACTGGTATCGCAGATCCGTCTCAGAGGTTTACATCTGTCATTAAACTCTGCAACCATGCGCCTCTCTTCTAAGGCTTGGGTCTCAAGCCACATCTACAAGTGGAACAACAGTAATATTTTTTAAAAAAAAATTCTTGTGAAGCTACGAAATGAGAACATGTCATAAAATTGTGTCTCCTTCAATGCTGCCTTTACTTTAAGAATTCCGTAAGTTATTTCATAACGTTACAACTAAAGGAGAGGATTTTCTGTGTTCTCATTTGCCAACAAGCAGACGTGGGGAACTCTAGGAAGTTCCTCCTGCACCTTTACAGTGAACTGGGGGCTTGCAGAGAACTTCCTGGTATATAATTGCACTCCTTGCGCTCTTGCGCAACTCCCAGTAATTTCAGTGGGACGCGGGCAAGAAACAGGAGACATTCCGGATAAAATGTGTCCAAAACATTAACATGAAAAGTGATCCACAGTCTTGACTGGTTGGGTACTTTTCAGATGATTCCTGTATCTATCTGGAAACCATAATTGTTTTATATCTTTCTAAAGTGCAAAAAAGGCATTTGTTACATTTTTGAATTGAACATAAAATGTTTATAGAAATGCTTATTTCATGGAGAATTAAACTATTGCTTAAATTGATGGAAATATTTTTTTTATTATATTTAACGTGTATAATGATGTCTCGTAAGTCAGCATCACTACTGGACAAGAAGTTAGTTGTGTATTTGGTTTTCATGTTAAGAAAATTGTTCTAAGGACGTTGTCCTGTTCTGATTTTAATCCAGATTAATGCAATAGCCTATTGGTTGTTCTGTACAATAAAGTTTAAAGATGCTCACTTTGTACTTCATTATCAGACAATTTGCAAATAGTTTCAAATACAACAACAGAGCAAAGCTTAGAATCATAGAGTTGGAAGGGACCTCCCGGGCCATCAAGCCCAACCCCCTGCACAATGCAGGAAATTCAAATACCTCCCACCCACCCCCGTGACTCCTGTTTCATGTCCAAAAGATGACAAAAACCCTCCAGGATCCCTGGCCAAACTGACCCGGAGAAAATTGCTTCCTGACCCCAAAGTGGTAATCAGCATTTCCCTGGGCTTGTAAGAAAGGGCTACAAGAACAAAGCACAGATGCAACCCTTCCTGCTCTCCCTCTCATGATCTTGATCAGCTCTCAGCTCCTGGCTGCAGCAGTTTTGCAGTTTGCCTATGCTTTTGCCACTGTTAAAAAATAGCATCCCGCTTCTGCAGTCTGAAGTGGTACAGATCAGTCTATCAGTTCAGGATTCTACCACCTCATTCTGCCGCAGGGCACAGGAAAAGAGGGCTGTTGGGCAGGTGTTCTTGTTTATTTAAAATATTCACAGCCCCTCCCCTTTCACCAAGATAAGTGTGACCCAAGACTGCTAACCCAGTGTTAGATACGAGACTCAGGCAGCAGGTGAACAGTGATTAACAGCTTTATTGAACACTAAGTCAGAAGAACCAGAACAAGGCAAATCAATGGAGCAACAGGCTCCTTTTTTAAACTGTCTGGGCTTGGCAAGCCATGCCCACATGTCAGCTAAGGTCCAATCAAATGCAGTACATAAAGACCAATCATTTCTCTTCCCTCCAGAACTTCCTTTCTTCTGTTAGGTCTATTTTACAATACCTTTCTAGACTCAAGCTCATACATTCATTACATTACATTACATTACATTACATACACAACACCCAGTAAAACCAGCACATGTCATATTGTAAAAACAAGTATTAAACAACCAGCAAGGATTTTTTTAAAAAGAGACCAACAGAGATTGCTGCCCTTCAAGGTCACCTCAGAAATGTCAAAGCATTCATCTCCAGAGGAGCCAAAGGCTCTTCTAAAAGTTACCTGGAAGTGCCCAAGAAATTATTTCTTCTGGGAGACTATTCACCAATATCATAGCAGCTGAAGAAGAGGCCTGCAGACAGGCAGTGGCAGAACATATGGGGTGCTGGAACAACCAAAAGGCATTGTTGCACTGAGCGAAGCTACTGCATGAACCCCTGTGTGTTGTTGACTACCAAGAGGATGGGCCGTTTTGAGGGCTCCCGCTGAACACTCCTCTCCTTGCACTTCAATCCCACTGAGCTCAACCTGACCTTCCACAAAGACACCCTGTGGTGCTGAGGTTCAAGTATGGGGACTAACAGCTGGGAGACCCAGGTTCATAAGCCCCACTCTGCCATGGAAGTTGCAGGGTGACTTTGGGCCAGTCACTCTCTCAGCTTAACGTACCCTGCACAGGTATTGTGAGAACAAAAACATGGGGGGGGGACGACAACAATACTTGTAAATTACTTTGGGTCCCCTAGAAAATAAAAACGATGCAACAGAAGCTCATTCTTAAAGGTGGTTCAAGACTACTGTTTTATCTTAGCCTCCAACTACACCTCACGCTCTTGCATCCCATCCCCCCCAGCACAAACACTCAGCACCTTCCCTCACCCCAACAGCTATATTTCTCTATTTCCATGGCTTTCCAAGCACAGTTCCCGCCATGCACCCCACTGTGCCCCTCCTCCTAGTCCCTTGTACCCCTCCTCCCAGATACACTCTGGCATTCCCATTCCTACCTTCCCCCTAACACCCGTTTCCATCAGCAGCTCCCCACCACCCATAATGACTTCCTCCCGCCTCCCTAAGGGCTGTTTCTGCAGCACTGCTCCGGAGAAAGAGCGAGAGAAGCAGCCAGTGACAGTGGCGAAGGAGGCAGCTTCTGTTGCGGAAAGGGAAGGCCCAGCGTGTATGTGCACTGATGGGGAGGCGGTGACACACACACACAGGCGAAGAAGAAATGGCAGCGGCCACACGTGCACAAGACTGGCTCAATGGGGGGGTGGGGGGGGGGATGGACTCTCCAGCAGCCAGTCAATCTGACATGGGCCTTTCTGCTGCGCTTGCTCTCACCCTCACCCTCCTTGCTTGCGGCCAAATAGTCCAGACCTGGACGCGGCAGTTCCAGCCCCTGGGCCTTATGTTCGACAGCCCTCATTTAAGCTTTAAAGGGGTGTAGACCGCTTGCGGCGGAAACCCTTTCGGTAGGAGGCGCCAGTTAAGGTACTTCCCCCTACCCGCCTCCCAAGTGGGCAGCTCCTCACTTTGCAATATCCTAGAATTGGAGGAGGAGGTGGTGCAGTGAGTTATGGGGGGGGGGATGTATTAGGAGCAGCTGCATACCTCAACCAGTGCTCCTTCTAAGCTGGGTTAGTGTGAGCTAGTTCACCGTTTTTTAGCCTCTGGCTCACAGATTTTTGTCTTGGCTCAGGAAGGATGGCTCCAGAGCCAACTAATTTATGTAGTAGCCAAATCACTTGCTCAGAACTTTAATGCCAGTAGCTCACAAAGTATAATTTTTGCTCACAAGACTCCATAGCTTAGGGGGAACATTGACCTCAACCCCATTTTCCTTTATATGCGGCAGGAAAAGGTAAAAACCCCTTCCCCCCGTGCTACTGCTGAGTCTTTAAGACAGTCGCTCAGCCCTCGGGTGCCAGTGCTGCTGCAGAATCAAGCACAGCCACCTCGGCCTATTGCTCCACTTGGAATGGCCAAGATCTAGGTACAGTAGCATCGCGGCGCCGCTCTAGTAAGAGTCGCAACTTAAGGACGTCTTCCCGTTGAACGGCCGACCCTGGAGTGTACCGTTCTAGCCGTTTTCCACCTCTATGGAGGAAAAGGGAAGACGGAAAGCTGAAGCCGTCCCAGAACTCAAACAACACTTCCGGCTCCCGATCGAAGGTGAAAAGATAAAATATCAATATGCATTCCTGTATCCCTAATTGTTTGTTTGTTAGTTTTGGAAAAATAAAAAATGTTACATATAAAAAAAGAAAGTGTGGGAACAACGGCTTGGACTAGACGTTCGGAGTGTGCCGCGGCGGCCTCTTTATGCACCTGCAATGTTACCATCGAATGGCAACCAGAAGAAATGGTTGCATTGAGCGGTTAGCAATATGCATTCCTGTATCCCTAATTATTTGTTTGTTAGTTTGGGAAAAATAAAAAATGTTACATATAAAAAAAGAAAGTGTGGGAACAACAGCTTGGACTAGATGTTCGGAGTGTGCCGCGGCTGCCTCTTTATGCACATGCAATGTTACCATCGAATGGCAACCGGAAGAAAGGGTTGCAGTGAGCGATTAGTCGTTTTTCTGCCTCTGTGGGCAGGAGAAAAAAAAGCAACGTGGGCGTGTCCCAGGATCGACAAACAACGCAGAGCGCGCGTGCCCGGTGTCTCGCGAAAGTTCGAGAGGAGGAGGGGGTGGTGAGGCGGCCGCTTGCGAAGCTGCTGGGAGGAGCGGTACCGCGCCTGCGTACGCTTCCCCTCACGAGGAAAGGGATTCAGCGGGAGCGTGCCCGCGGCCTAGTGGGAGTGCGCGTGCGCCCCTCGTCTGTCGCAACATGGAGGAGGTGAGTGAGGAGGATGAGGGGAAGGGGGCGATGTATGTGCCCGGTAGGGATATATATGGGAGGAAATGGGGTCCTCTGATTGTAAGGAAGAGAATGGATTTATACATTCATACTTAAGAAATGACGCTTATGCACCCGAAAGTTCCAGAAATATTATGGGACTCAGGGGGAGGTAGAGTGGCCAGGTGGTCTCCCCAGGCCACCAGCAGGGGTTGGGGGGGTAGGGTTGCCAGATCCAGGTTGGGAAGCTCCTGGAGGTGTTGGGGATGGAGCCTGGGGAGGACGGGGACCCCAGTGGGGTACAATGCCCATAGAGTCCAGCCTCTAAAGTATCCATTTTCTCCGGGGGAACTGATCTCTGTAGTCGAGATGAGCTGGGATTCCGGGAGATCCCCAGGTCCCACCTGGAAGCTGGCATCCCTACAAGGAGGGGTCTTTTGAGGTTTCTGTCGACCTCTTCTCCAGTGAAGGGTCTCAAGTGAAAGAAAGAAAGAAACATTCTGCCTGTGTGATTTGGAGGCCTGTGTAGGTAACATAATAGTCTTGTTTCTGGCAGGCAGCCGTGTTAGTCTGGAGTGGAAGAACAGAATTCGAGTCCAGTAGCATCTTAATGAGTAACTCGACTTCCAGGATACAAGCTTTTGTGAGTTGCAGCTCGCGCTTGGTCAGGTACAAATGAGAATGAAGGCCTGATAGGTCTTTGGTCTTTGTCACTTGTATTTGACGAAGTCAGCTCTTCTCTATCAAGCTTGTACATTGGAAAACCTTTGTTGGTCTTAGAGGTGCTGTTGAATTTGAAGACTGTTATCATTCAGCTAACATGGTTGCTGAAGAATGCAGTGTGTGGACCATTGTGTGGCAGCTTCATGTGTCAGAGGCCCAAGGAATTGAGTTCGAGTCTGCCACATGCCTACTTGTTATGGATCTGTGTTGACGGAAGTAAAAGCAGGCTGATAGGCCAAGGATAGGTGCAGAACCCAAATTAAGGGATCATTTGTTGTGTTATACAGTTACAGTAGGAAAAGCAGCTCCCTGCTTTTTTGCAATTCATGTTCACTTGCAGTGATTCCTATCCATTGTGGTTTCTTTGTAAGATCTAAAGCAGGACTTTGGTAGTGTGTGCCTTTTGATCAAGTCCTGTAAGTATAGGCTATGGGTCTCACTGTGTTGGGATTAGGAGATAGATAATCTGTGGATGATCAGGGGAGCCATGTGGATTGGGGGGGGTGGACAGGGGGACTGGAATGTGTATAATTGTATGTGCTGGAGAGAGTAGCGAGACAGCGTCATGAAAAGTACTTCCCACACTGGCCAATCGCTGAATGATGTCAGGGAACACCAATGCATGAGCAGTACCTCTTTATGAACAAAAAAGTGTAGTGGATAGAAGGTAGGCTTGGCTTGAGTTCAAGTCCTCACATCTTGCTGAGAATTAAGGCCAAGAATGAGAAAACGGGACTAGCCTCTTCTATGCCACTCTGAACTCCTCTGGGTTAGTTGCCACTATTCTGGTATAGTGACTACTGGAGATGATGGAGGTGGCATGGGAAGGACTAACATTCATGCCTGCTTACCCATCAAGCTGACTGGGTGAACTTGAGTGACCTTTCTTCGCTTAACCCACCTCACAGGTTTGTTGTAAGGATAAAATGGGGTCTTCATGTGCTGCCTCAGCTTTGTGGAGAAAGGTTAGGATATGGGTTACTAAACAGTAACAGTAACAGTTTCTTAAAGCTTGTTATAGGCTCCCAATATGAAATAGACCTGTTCTTCTTTTTGGAAACATTAAGCTTAGTCTGTTCATCAGGCAGGTGTAAAAGTGGTAATTACCACAGGCTAAAAGCAGTATGGGTTACTAAAAGACAGCCCAGTATTTTAACAGGACCAGTTTCTTAAAGCTTGTTATAGGCTCCCGTTATGAAATAGACCTGAAGTTCTTCTTTTTGGAAATATTAAGCTTAGTCTGTTCATCAGGCAGGTGTAAAAGTGGTAATTACCGCAGGCTAAAAGCAGCCTCTTGTGTCCCAGGATTGTTGTTTGCACTCTGAAAACACAAAGTGATGCAACACTCATGTCCAAAGAGGTGTGAAACAATTTTGTCTGAATGCCCCCCCCCCTCCAAAAACAAATGGAGGCAAACTAGACTTTTCACAGGTCAGTTAACTGTAGCACTCCAGAAGAACCCTATGAAATGGCCTGTTGTATATATTCAAACCATATGGCCTCAGGTATTTTCAGATGCCACTAACACAACTAACCCAACAGACTGGATTGTTTGGATTTGTCCCAGTAGCAGTGGCACTTTCCTCTGATGGAAGGATCCTTCTGCTGATGCAAGACACTTCCCCCCCCCCTTAGCAGAATGGTGTTTTTCATGGAGAAAAGTGCCTCACGTAGAGGAATGGATAGAAAGCATGGGAATTGGCTGCTTCGATAAATAGGAGATTTGCTGGGGAAATGACAGCAGTCTGAAGAGTTCTGAGGTATGGAGAGATCCCTCCTGGTTCTGTGTAAGCAAAGGAAATACTCTTGGCCACAAAGCCATCAGAGTGTAATGTATTTGCACATGTCTGTTTTATCTAGCTACAAAAAGATTTGGAGGAGGTGAAGGAGCTTCTGAAAAAAGCATCAAGGAAGAGAATTCATGACGTCTTGCTAGCTGAAAAGAATAAACTAGAGAAAGAAATCAAAAACCAACCACCACCTAAAATAAAAGCAGAGATATCAGAAGAAGAAAGACAGCCGGCCACAGGCTACACAGTGAAAATCAACAATTACGGTAAGCTAGTTTTATGCACAATTTCAATTAATTAGAATGGATTAAAGAAACTATAAGTGTGTCTGGCTAGGATTAGAGAAGACTGCATTCAGACTTGAAACCTGCCATGAAGTCCACTGGGCCAGTGTATCAGTTTAACCTAGCTCACAGGGTTGTGGTGAGACAGAATGGGGAGGGTTGAAAACAATGGACACCTCCCTTGGAAGCAAGGCAGGATAAAAATGTAATAAGGTATATAAAATATGCATAGAAAGTAGTCCTGAAAAAGTTTTCTGGATCAGTGTATGCTGAAGCGAGTCTTTGATTTCAGTAGGAGTAACTCTCACAGACATATGTACGTTTAACCTCCCTGCTTATATGGACATGCCCGATCTGATGTTTAGACATAGCAGTGGGATAGGTTATAGTCTTTTCCCCCCTTGCCAGCTCTTCCAAGAGGCACAATCAGGATAAGCAATGACACCAGCGTGCCACAAAACTCTTTAACCTGTGTCTAACTCCTTTGCCCCACGATCACCAAGCTTCCTTCCCATTCTTAGGTATTCATCTAACATCATAGGAGAAGCTGATGCATAATGGCCTGAATGTGTGACAGCTGTCACCAATGTTCCCTCTAAACTGTGGAGTCTTGTGAGCAAAAATTCTACTCTGTGAGCTACTAGCATTAAAGTTGTGAGCGAGCGATTTGGCTACTGCATAAATCAGTGTGCTCTGGAGCCATCTTTCCTGAGCTAAGACAAAAATCTGTGAGCCGGAGACTAAAAAACTGTGAGCTAGCTCACACTAACTCAGCTTAGAGGGAACACTGGTTGTCACATACTAGCTGCATGTATATGAAAACCATGATCAGCCTCTCATCAGCCATGTATTACATGCCTGTGTATACATCTGTACATTTTAATGCCCAGAGTGAAGTTTTTAAAGCTCATTTAGGGAGTGAAAGGATTGTTTTTTTCCTTCATCTTGAGAAACCCATTTTATCATATAACGTGGCTCTCTTTTAACCTTTTCAGCTTGGGATCAGTCAGATAAATTTGTGAAAATCTACATCACTCTAAGTGGAGTACAGCATCTCTCAGCTGAGAATGTGCAAGTCCGTTTCACAGAAAGGTGGGTTTTGTGCCAAATGCCAGAGTGAAAGTGAAATGGGTTGGGTTTTTTTGCATGGTCTCCTCTGCATTTTGTTCCCACACAAAGACATTCTCTCTCGAGGGGAGGAGGACACTCTGGTACGCTTGGGTTCCTCTTCCCACAATCCCTGGAGACAGGAAATTTATTGCATTTTCCATCTCCGGGGGGAGGAGGAGCCCACCCTCAGTCTGGAAACTTCTGCAGCTGATAACAGTCCACAGTGTGTGCCAAACAAACAGACAGACAACAAGGCTTACAGAGCCCTCTGAAACAAACCATATGGCAGAACAATTAACATGGAAATTGGCAGTCAGTCACCCTTTAGGAAACATAATAGGCTGAACAGAGACCCTCCAACTAGGGTGAGTCCAGAGTGTCCTCTTCACCCTTGAGAAGAAGGAACCTTCATGGTAAGTCCAGTGTTCCATTTCAGGAGCTTTCTAACTAATTCCAAGTATCAGAACTGCTTCTTAACAACCTGATGGTGCTACATGTGTGAATATGAATAAAAAGGTCATCCTCAGTTTGTGTGCAGCAGGGCCAAGTACATTTTTCAAAACTGCGTGAAATGGGTGAAAGAATCCTACTATAACTTTTTGGGAGCCAGGATTGTGTCTTCAGCAGTGATGCACGCATCAGAGAATTAGAAGAGCAGCTGTGGGAAGCATTCTCTGTATCTGAAGCCTTGTTATCACATATATGATAATGTTCACTATGAAATCTCCCAAGTTGCGCAAGCAACCCTTGTATCTTATCCAGACCTCATCTTCCAAATATTCTGATAAACTGGATTTTAACATCAAAGCAGTACAAGTCATGCTTTCTCCCTCTTTGTATCTGAGAGAACTATGTCTATGCAGTACTAACTGTTCTCTTCTTTCCAGATCATTTGATCTATTCGTGAAAAATCTAAATGGCAAGAACTACTCCATGACATTCAATAATCTTCTGAAACCAATTTCTGTGGAGAACAGCTCACGAAAGGTCTGTGCATCTCATGTAGCACGTTAATAGTGGTCATAATGCCCCATGATTTTGGCACAAGGGTTGGTTCCTAGGGGACTGCTACTTCTACTGGCATCAGAGGGTGGGTTATAGAGCAGAGCAGCCTTAGCATTAGGCAGTCACTGGAGGTAGGTAGGTAGCTCCCTCTGCAGTATTTAAATCCCCTACTTTTGTTGTTCCAGAATGATCACTCTGCACACACATTTTTTTTCACTTTTTCAAGTGCAGCTTTTCTGGAGTTTCTAAGTGTAATAGATTTCAGATAGTATCCTGCTTAATCATTCTACCTCTCAGCATCTCCCACTTTTTTGAAAATCTGAAGCATGGTTTTCCTTCTTTTCATTGCAGATCAAAACCGATATGGTCCTCATATTATGTAGGAAGAAGCAAGAGGAAAAATGGGAGTGCCTAACTCAAGTGGAAAAAGAGACAAAGGAAAAGGAGTAAGTGTGCTACTCCCTGTTCCGTCAATCTTGTGTTATACACTGCAGAAAAAATAAACACCTGAAACTTGCCGATCCATGCATAATGTTTGGAGGAAAGGCCCAGTGAGTAGTCTGGGAACAGTGCATGCTACAGCATCACTGCCGTTGCATGGATGTAAGTTGAATATGACCATCATAACAGGAGGACATACGTTCTTGGAAGCTGAGAATTATCTCGTGATCGCTGGAACAAAAGTACCATGTGCATACCTTTTCAGCTAAGGAGCATTCCTGACATAGTAATTCAGGTCGAAATCTTCCTTCCTTACTTTTGACCACACCTCCCCCCCCCTTCCCCCATGGGGACCCAATTTTGTCCTCACAACAACTCTGTGAGGTAGGGTAGGCTGAGTTGTGAGACTGGCCAAAAGTCACCCAGCAAGCTTCCATGGCAGAATGCGAGTTCAAACCTGGTCTCACAGATCCTACTCCATCGTCCTGTGCTGGCTCTTCTTTCCTAAACAAGTACGATTTTCAGTATTGAATGTAGTTCTGTACCATTCTAAACGGCGGCCGGTAGAGTTTTTCCTGCCTACTTGGTACAGTTCTTTTCCACACCCGTTCAGCCCTAGCAGCAGATAAAACTGGCCGTAGTATTTTAAAATGAGATCTCCACTGCATTCTTATACTAAATATTATTGTTTGAACTGACTTGTTGAAAACTGCCTGGAGTAGAAGTATTAAGTTACTTGGCCTTCCTATCTCCCCTCACGTTATACAGTTTGAAGCCTCTTGCAACTGAGTCTTGACTACATGGAAGTAAATCCTACTATTGTGTTGAGGATTGCAGCTCTTAGTAATGTTAACAGAGGCTCGCCTCACATTTTCTTGTTAAAACTGGCCGTAGTATTTTAAAATGAGATCTCCACTGCATTCTTATACTAAATATTATTGTTTGAACTGACTTGTTGAAAACTGCCTGGAGTAGAAGTATTAAGTTACTTGGCCTTCCTATCTCCCCTCAAGTTATACAGTTTGAAGCCTCTTGCAACTGAGTCTAGACTACATGGAAGTAAATCCTACTATTGCCAATGGGATTTCCAGGCAGTATGTGTTGAGGATTGCAGCTCTTAGTAATGCTAACAGAGGCTCGCCTCACATTTTCTTGTCTTAAAGTTCTTCAACTTTGTTACAAGGCAAGCCACAGTTGGACTAACTGGTAACAACCGTCACATGTATATTTCTGTTTTAGGAAAGCATCATACGACACATCAGATCCGAGTGAGGGGTTGATGAATCTCCTGAAAAAGATGTACGCTGAAGGTGATGACGAGATGAAAAGAACCATTAATAAAGCCTGGGTTGAGAGCAGAGAAAAGCAAACCAAAGAGGATATGCCACTAGATATTTGAACAAATGGTGGGTTTTCTATATGGGGCTTCCGACGTGCCACTGAGATCAGAAAAAGTGGCGTTTACACAACCACCTTCCAAGCAAAACCAGTGCTCTGCATTTCAGGTTGGAGAAATAAAATAAAACATACTGTAAAGTTATCTCCTTCAAGTGTTTTGCCCTGCTTCCTTAAGGCCTTTGGTGCTTTTGTGAAACTGGCAAAAAACCCTACCTTTGACGTATCTTGTGTTGTCTGAATCAGTACTGACCGTCTGTTCCACCTGTATCCTCAGCTTCTCCCATCATGGAACTCAAGATAGGCTGTCATCTAGGTCCCAAGCAGCCCCAGACAAGTAGCAAGGCTGCTGAGGCATATTCCTTCCATATTGCTCTCTGCCACACTAGGTTACGTAGAGGACTTGCTACTAAACTTGGAAGGAGCTTGGTTCATGGGAGATTTGTGAAGTTGCAAGCTGCTGTTTGCCTTAGCTAAATTGATCGTACGATTCATGGCTCAAAGGAGCATCTCTAAGTCTGCTAAGCAAAGAGGCTTCTAGAAAGATGTTATTTGAGACCAAATCTGTTCCTTGGCTTCATGAAAAGAAAGAGAAGAGATTGGATTTATATCCTGCCCTTCACTACCCAAAGGAGTCTCAGAGTGGCTTATCATCTCCTTTCCCTTCCCCTCCCCACAACAGACACCCTGTGAGGTAGGTGGGGCTGAGAGAGCTCTTTCGAGAACTGCTCCTGAGAGATCAGCTCCGAAAGAACTTGTGACTGACCCAAGGTCACACCAGCATGTGGAGAAGTGGGGAATCAAACCCAGTTCTCCCAGATTAGAGTCCGCACTCCTAACCGTTGCACCAAACTGGCTCTCATCCTCATGGATGGCACACCATAGGAAGAGTCAGTTGAGCAAGCTATAATCAGTGTAACATCCAAAATAACATCCTTAAGAAACAAAGCCTGCAGCCTCTTTAAAGCACTGCTTATATTTTTGGGAGCCTTGTAGTAACAGTGTAGGCACATTAAGTGTGTGTGCACACAGGGGGAATCATGCCCATGTCTACTTAACCTGCCCCCTACACACTCACTGCAACTTCTGAAAAGAGCCTGATTGCACAGGAACCGCTGAGCCTGCCTTTTGAAGGCCATCAGACTGGAGGAAGCTTATGCATGTACAGTTTGTGGACAGGCACACTCTGTCACAATCTCTAAAGCATGTGCAATCCAACTCCTCCCCCTCCTCCCCAACACATATGTACAGTCCTGTCAAAATCCAGCCAGTGCACTTGTGTTCGTAAGAGTGTAAGGTAACCATAAACCTTCCAGATTTCTATTTTCAAACCCTGCTACCTGTTCCCTTTTCTGACTGCCTTTTTCTCTAACCTCTTTAATGGTCAGCTGTAGTAACTGTAATCCCATGCAAGTGAGGTTCATCTCATGTGGCATTTCTTCTCAGTTTTGTTGCGGTGCAACAACCCGCATCAGTCTGTAAAGCAAAGTATTTTGGAAGAAATACTAGGAATGGACAAAATTTGGTCAGTCTGGGTATATTTTAATTGTTTTTTTTAAATATCTAACAGCGGGGTAACCCACAGCTTGACGAACTCCAGCTAGGCTTATCTTCTGTACAGCACTTTGCTTCCCCTTGTGCCACCCCTCCTATCAAGACCTTCAGTACAATAAATCTTAAAAGAGTTGGAACGGGGCTCAGTTCTTTTCTTCCCTTGGTTATGAAAACCCTTGGCAAGGGTTCACCACATTGCTCTCTGTATCCCAGAGAGTTGAGCATGGTCAGCTAGGTGGCGGAAAACTATTCGGCTGAGCCTCCAGCGCCGCACTACAGCTCGTGGCCGGGAGGTTAACACACACCGATTGCGGATCCTCACAGGGCAGCTGTCCCGCGGCAGGGCAGCAATCTCTTTATCTGCCACTTCCTGAAACAAACAAAAATCAATAACATGTATCAAATGTTTTGGAGTTCTTGTGCTGTACATAGCTATTCTCTGAAAAGCTTGGCCTCGCAGAAAGGGAAACTTATGGCAGTCCCCATAGTTCTATCACCGATGTGGGATGCATTATTAATTCACTGAGGACACCAAGCCTCTCCTCGTGAAAAGGTTAATTGCAAGATGCAATCAGGCGTTGACTTCCCCAAGACCTGTAGCAGTCTGCAAGCCTGTTTGGAAAAGATAGAAGATTTCTATACTGCAATATACAGCAAGACTGTATGTGTGGATTTTGCTAGATAGATATACCTTCTGTGCCAAAAACTCCATTCATGCAGCTAAAAACATGCCTATATAGCCCACTCTAGTGATGAATCTTTCAGGGTTTCTGCTTTGTGTCCCTTTGGGAAGGGTAACCTTTTCCACAACTCATAGGGAACAAAGATTGAAACATGTTCTGTTGCTTCAGACCAACACGGCTATCCACTTGAATCTAACAACTCATATAATCACTGTTTCATAACACGAAAAAGGCACTTCCATATTTTGTATGAATCAGAATGACTATGGAACAGCAACCATCAAGAGCCCACCACTGGCCATCAGGAAACAGCCTGTCTTATCCCTTGTTTTCAGGAGCAAGAGCAAAAACTAGCCCCAACCTCATGGACAGCAGGCAGACATTTGCTGCATCTGCTGGCTTGTTAGGGATATCATGCACTGGTTGGTTGGATGAAATGGCTATCTAGCTGTCTGGAGATTTTAACAGGCCTTCACTGCAGCATTTCTGGTAAAGTAGGGGATAGGTTTTTTCCAATAGATATATTTGCTTGGCTTTTTACTCACAGTATAGAGCTCATGGTTTTAGTTGTTTGGGGTAAAACTGCAGTGCCTGGGTCAGCATGGGCTTTTAGCAGTGGGAAGCAACACAGCAACCTTAAAAACACTTGGGGAATTTAACGGTTTACACATGCTTTTTCAATGTAAAAGAGGAGTAAGTGGTTGCGGAGAACAAGCCCCACACTATGAAACCTAGTACAACATGATGATTTACTGCAGCCATGGGATTCTCAAACCACTGGATATTTTTTTTAACAGATCTTCATAATGCTTTACTACATAGTCTGTAGCTGCATGTTATTGGCTATCTGCTGTGATGGAGCGGTTGATTAAGATTCTGGGAATAGGATAAAGTGACAAAACAATGGATTCACAGCAGCACATTTCAGAGATACAGGAACCTTATAAGCTACTGCTCATTATATGACACAATTTTTAAAAACTGTCACATGCTCAAGTCTAGCATAGCCTCACTTGGTATCATTTCTTTCTTACCTGCAGTTCCTTGGGCAAAATAGTGTTTTTCCTGAGGGCATTTAGACATAGTCTTTGATCTGCATATTCATAGGCCATCTTCCTTCTCTTAACATCACGTAACATTCTCCAGTCCACATAATGACTCCTTACTTGCCCAAGGCAAGATAAGGGGGAGCTCTATTAATAAAATCACATCCAAAGTTTGCCACTTCTTATTCCTGAGGCACAACATGTCCAGATACAGTATAGCACAAACCATTATTCACAAAGGCCAATTTTACTTTATTCCCATTTGCTGATAATTTGAGCAAAGCCAGTCTTAATAGTATTACTCACAGGGCCTGCCTACATAGATTTCTTGGTAACTTATTATCAGAAATGGGGAAAACTGCCTGAAGTTGATTCATACTAGCATTCAGTTTTATCCAGTGCAGTTTGTGTAATACACCTAGGAGCAATGGGATAAAATCCTAGCTCACTCACTGGTTAGTGGCTTGCTTTATGGACAGGCCAATACTGATCCACCTCTGGTTCTGAAACAGAAAAACAGTAATCTGCAATGTGGAGTGCATGTTAAATGAGAAGACTGCGGTGAGGCCAGTAACAAGAAATAAACATAGTTCAACAAATTCGACCATGTTCAAATACAGCCCAAGTTCAGCTCTATATATTTATTTCTTGCTATTGCATATTCTTTCCAAAGTATTGCAATAATCATTTTTCACATATCAGACCATTTGCTGCAGCATCGTATTTTTTATCAGCACTGTTGTTCATCCTTATCTGTTTTTTCTTAAGTGCAAAACCCCCCAACCTTTCTGCCCCATGTTCACCCAGATCATACATACAAGCAACATACAGGGAAGCGGCACAGAATCAGAGTTGGAAAGGGCCATACAGGCCATTTGGTCCAACCCCCTGCCCAGTGTAGGATCTGTCTCTAAAGCATCCTTGACAAATGGTCGTCCAGCATATTTCTGCAGGTGTTGTTTACCAACAAATAATTCTTATTTGTTGTTTAGTCGCACAGTCGAGTCCGACTCTTTGTGACCCCATGGACCGCATCACGCCAGGCCCTCCTGTCTTCCATCGTGCTCTGGAGTTTGCTTAATTTCATGTTCATTGCCTCGATAACACTGTCTAACCATCTCATCCTTTGCCGTCCCCGTCTTCTTTGACCTTCAATCTTTCCCAGCATCAGGGTCTTCTCCAGTGAGTGCTCCCTTCTTATTTGGTGGCCAAAGTATTTGAGCTTCAGCTTCAGTATCTGGCCTTCCAGGGAACAGTCAGGGTTGATGCCTTTTAGGATTGACTGATCTGATCTTTTTGCAGTCCAGTCTTCTCCAGCACCAAAATTCAAAAGAATCTATTCTCTGGCGCTCGGCCTTCCTTATGGTCCAACTCTCACAGCCATACAGTACTAGTGGGAATATAAACACTTTGACCATACGGACTTTTGTTGGTAGGGTGATGTCTCTACTTTTTATTATGCTGTCAAGGTTTGCCATCGCTTTCCTCCCAAGGAGCAGGCGTCTTTTAATTTCATGACTGCAGTCACCATCTGCAGTGATCTTGGATCCCAGGAAACTGAAGTCTGTCACAGCTTCCATGACTTCTCCTTCTATTTGCCAAGGTGTGATGGGGCCGGATGCCATGATCTTAGTTTTTTTGATGTTGAGTTTCAAGGCAACCTTATTTACCAACTAACAAACCTGAAAACTGGGTAACACCAGACTTTTCACCTCAAGCCAATGAGAAATACAAGTTTCCCTGTATTCATTCTTTCCTCACTCCATAGGTGACTTTATGCTCCTCCTCCCTCCCTCTTCTGTACTCCCATTTCATTATCCTCTGTCTCCACACAGATCCCTCTGCAACACCATCTCTAGTATCTCATTTTCAAGCCCCCAAAGCTATCAATAACCATGAAATAGGACCCTTCTTCCGGTTTGCATAGCTAAGAGAAAACTGTTATTTATGAATAATTAAATCCACCAATATTCTATAAAGCGCAGGTTAATAAAAGAGACACCTCTGACAGGGAAGCATTCTGCACGTGCATAGAAGCACGTTCATTGTAACTTTAAAAAGAATTCTCGCTCTACACGCGCTCCTAATCACTGTGGCGTCACTAACTGGAAACGAAGCAAAGGCACTCTGCGCATACAAAGAGTTCGCCTCCGCTTCCGGGCACCACGGGCTTTAAACCCGTTGGCTTCCCTGCGATGCACATGCTCAGAATCCCGCTCAGACTGCTACAGGAAGAAGCGAACAACGGAGAGATCGTCTAATCGGGAGAGAGTCGGAGGAGGAGAAAGAAAGGACGCCAACGCAGCTCTGACCTGACGAGACACCATCCGCATCACTAAAGCTACCGCCATATCTGTCCCACAATGCTACGCGACAACGGCGACACCACCTGCAATTGCGCATGCGCCACCAGCAATGACGTCAAAGCCGGAGGTTACAGTGTAGGTGGAGTACGCGTGCGCGGGAGGGGAGGATGCGTTTGGAGTCCGCGGCTGTGGGGGGGGGGGATTTCTGGCGGCAGGATACATGAGGTGGGTTAGGCTGAGAGAGGGAGAGATT